AAGAAGAAATTGAAGCTATGTTATTGATCATTTATTAAGCTCATCTTCTAATTACTTTAGATAATTTTCAAATAAGCAAAGTTTAAAATAAAGTAAAATTGTTGAGTTTTCAAATCTATTTTAAAATCATTTCCAAAAGTATATAATAAGGGTAAAATAATTGATTTGATTTTTAAGTTTAATAACTCAATCTTTAGATGAACCTAAGGATATTAGAAATCTAAATATATGCATAAAGGCAATCAAAAGTAATAGGGTCGGAGAAAAAAAATGAAATGTTTTTAAAATATAAATATTTGATTGAATTATTTAATTTATTAATATTAATTTTATTTATTATGTTTTAATCAAAAATGATAGAATTAGAAGAATACCTCAATTTTTGTAAGAATCATTAACAGCCTATTCTGATGGTTTTATTAGATAAAAACTCAAAAAGAGAGGAACGTCGTTTATGTGCTGTTTGTATGGAAAATTTTGAAGCAGAAACTAAAATAATTGGATTTAAAAAATTACTTAAAATATCTAAGAAAAATAAAAGAGAAAAGAAAAAATATCTATGGATTGATTAAAGTTGATGTGGATTTGGTAGAATCATTAATTAACGAAATACAGATATTAGTCAAACTTTATTTCCAAATTTGATGAATTAATAACATGTTCAACAGAATGAATCAAAAGTCTTTAAATTATTGGTTAACAAAATTTTAGTTATAGTTTTTTTCGTGAATAAGAAATAATAATTAATAATCAAATGTAAAATTTAATGAATTAAGAATAAATTTATGATTAAATAACTACACTTAATAATTCATTTTTGTAACAAAAGTAATTAGAAATTATCTTCTCTAACGAACTAAGAATTATATTCGTAATGTGATAAAACTTTAATCAATTTAAATTTAAATCATCATATTAAATTAATAGATGATTCAAATAAATAAACTGATCCTTTTTATGCAATTTCTTTTAATTAATCTGAATCACTCATGATCTCAGCCTCTGATTGTGACATTAAAGTATGGAATTTTGAGAAAGGAAGAATGAATGAAATTAGCAAAATTAGTGGACATACTTAAACTATATCTTGTCTTCAATTTAGTAAGAATAGCAATAGTTTTGTATCTGCCTGTTTTGATAATTCTATTATGTTGGATATAAATTAATTAAAAAGAATGGAAGAGTTCTTAATCTTATTAATAGCATACTAATTGCATAGATTGCTTAATTTTAAATCAATCTGAAAATTAACTTGTTTCTGGAGGAAGAGATAATTCAATAAAAATTTGGAAAATAGATTTAGTTAATAATTAATTAACCTATTTTTATTCATTAGACAAACATAAAAATTAGATTAACAGTCTATGCTTAAATCAAAACGAAGATACTTTGTTTTGTTGTGGTGATTATAAATAGATAATAATTTGGAAATAAGATAGTGAACAAAAATGGGAATTTGGATATGAAGTTACATAATCAATTTAAGAATTTGGATACAGATTATGCTTTATAAATGAAGACTAATTTATTTTTGTTACAGGAAATCAAGTAAGCAAAGATTGTATAAGCACATTTGAACTAAAAAATTAAAAATATCAAGAAAACTTGGAAAAGGAACTAAGACTAAATAAAAATGATTAACAACCTGATCTCAATTTATTTCCAATCTGTTATGACAAAAAAAAGAATTTAATGATTGTAAAACATAAATAGTGCGTTTATTTGATCAAAATATCAAATGAAGGACAATTAAAAATAATCTCATAGATAAAATATTAATCAAATGATATTTTTGGAGCATTAACTAATGATGCAAAGTATATAGTTACTTGGGATAATGAGGGATAGAAATATAATGTGTATGAATTATATATTAATTGAATTCAATATTATAAATAATAATATTACAATAATAATATTTTTATGCTGAAGAAAGACATTTTTAACTACAACTCATTCATTATACAATTTACCATCTTAATTACTAAAGTTTTATTAATAAATATTAGTAGCACTATTTTATAAAGTTTAATTATGTAGATTAGTGACTAGTAATAAATATTTGTCTCTATTGATTTTAAAAATACTTTATATAATTCCCTTCATAAGTTTTTTATATTAAAGTTATTTAATACTTTTTTTTTAATATTGAAAGCAATCTTGAAAGATATGTTTAGGTTAAATAAAACATTTTTGAAGGATATCAATTTTATATAATATATTTT